TCTCAGAATACTCTGGGCTTCCCCCGTGGTTTTTCTTTCGTTTGAGGGGATTTTCTCCTTACAGGAAGACCCACAATTCTGGTTTCATATTTTCCTTTCTGAAAGAGGTGACTGAATTTATTCTGGTTCCACATAGAAAAGACAGATCCATTAAACACGGCTCCACACGAGAGCACTTTTAAAGATGTTGTTTTCTTAAGTTTCCTAACACTACTAAATAATTGAAGTTATCAAAAAATAACTTTGTAGCAGAACCAGAATAATACTCTTCTTAGTGAATGAATTCTTTTTTCTAGTGATGGATGCTGACCTGTTCTTTTTACATTGGAGTTTTAAAAATGGGGACATTTGGACAAATTCTGAAAGGACATTTGAAACTGTTCTGTGAAAAGATCTTTGGTTGTAGGAATATAAATATCCTCAAGCCAGCAGAATTAGTTTTGATGTCTTTGGATGCATTAACGTCTAATCTTGTCTCAAATTGTCCTAAAGAATAGGGAAAAAGTATTACTCAATATAAGAAGTCCCTGGAGAGGGAACACGAAGAGTTGATTAATTTAGCAGCACAGTAGTGCCATGAGAGACCCAGTTTTTTTCCATGATCCTGCTCTCCTGTCCTCAGCCTCTCAGCCTGGGTATCACAGCATTTGGTGCAGTTCTAGGTTGTCATGTGTAGACATGTGATAGAGCAAGAAGAGTGTCTTTTTATTGTTTCTCTTTAAAGATGATGGACTCTTTCTCATGAGAGACCACCTTTCACATCTGATTGTTAGAAACTTCCCTATCTGCCCACTCTTGGCAATCAAGGGCGATGTGGATGGAGTCCCCGGGACTGAACTGCAGTGGTTAGGATATAGCGTGCGTTTGGTCAGCATCCCACGAAGATGGACATCTAACCAAAATCAGTTTCCAGATTTGGGGCAGGAAAGACTGTTAAGATGGTGAAGCAAAATTGGGCATACAGGTATGTCTGACTTTAGAGCCTGCGCTCTTTTTTTTTTTTTTTTTTGTGAGGAAGATCAGCCCTGAGCTAACATCCATGCCAATCCTCCTCTTTTTGCTAAGGAAGACCGGCTCTGAGCTAACATCTATTGCAGTCCTCCTGCTTTTTTTCCCCCAAAACCCCAGTAGATAGTTGTATGTCGTAGTTGCACATCCTTCTAGTTGCTGTATGTGGGATGCGGCCTCAGCATGGCCGGAGAAGTGGTGTGTCAGTGCGCGCCCGGGATCCGAACCCAGGCCACCAGCAGCGGAGCGCGTGCACCTAACTGCTAAGGCACCGGGCTGGCCCCAAGAGCCTGCACTCTTAACTCCCATCATTTTACCTCTCGCATTTAGTAAACAAAAAGTCAAATAAATCATTAAAAATGTTCGCAAACTGTGCTTTATTAATCTTAAAGGCAGAGAGTTTTGTAAGTAATATTTCCTGCATGTGTAGAATTACTTTATCATTTCTCCCAACGTTTTTGAGGTGGTCAAATCTGACCAGGTATTATTTGAGTGTCCCTGGGTGTCAGTGTGTGTAAAATAGAAAAATTCATTCATGTACATGAAATAGGTAGGTGATCATATGGACTGACACATATCCATCTTAATACCAACGAAAATATTGTAAACATTATGAAGAATGACAAACTAAATTGCACTCATTGAAAATAGTATTGAAGTAAACAGAAATTTCTTAAAAACACACACAAACACTTCTTCAAGAGAATTAAATCTGAAAGCAGTTACAGAACAAACTGAGGACAGATTCACAAATGAAACTGAGTTCTTACAAAAGTGGATTTTTTTCCAACAGTGACAAAAATCAACCTCCAGTACATGCATACACACTCTTCTTTTTAATATAACTATTAAGAAAGAGAAATCAGCATTGCCAGACACTGACATTATTTTTTGTGTAAGGAATGACCAGAGTTGTCTAATTTTAAACACATATTATTCCACAGTTAAGTTCCACATGGTGTTTAGCATTCAGCCTTCCAAATCAAATTTCACTATAACTGTAATAGCAACCGACTGCATATCTATTTCTGCCAGAAAACAACATGATTTTTTTTCTGAAATTTAATAGTTATTTGTATCAAACTATTTTCCATATTCTGAGCACGTTAGGAAGCCAGTTTCACCTAGATTTATTTTTAGGTACATCCGAATATTTAGAAGAGCTGTTGTCTCCATGCTTGAGTGGTCCAAATCCTTATGAAAGACTCATTTTCCTCAAAGAAAGGGGTATAGGAGAGATTTCCCAAACTTGCTAATTCTTCATGATACTATTAAGCCAGAAGTTGATAAGCTTTTTGAATATTTTGAGGTTGTCAGTATAAGAAGCAAGCAGTCATAGAGTAGGTGTTCGTTTTATGCTGTGGTTCAGTCCCTTGGATAAACTCATCACTGAAGTTATTTTCAAATATACCCTCACGTGTTCCTATCTGCCCACCCCTGAGTGGCTGGGACAGGAATGTGACATCTCAATTTGTTTATTAAATTTGGTATAGCTATGTTACAGGAGAGTGTTTTACACTGAAGTTGAGAAAAAGAAGTGGGTAGAAAAGTAGCTACATACTGACAGAGAGCGCTCTGTGGCTCAGGGAGGGTAGCTTCTCCTCCCTGGATAAACTTGTGTGGTGAGCTGTTCAGTGGATGTGAACATGCTATTTGTTTAACAGAATTTCAGTTAAATTATTGTCAAACCACTTCCTCTGCAGGAAACAGATCTTTGATTTACGGAGTAATGACTTCCTTTTGTTCCTCTAATAAGAAATTCAAGAGCACATGAATGCCACTTAGTTTTCGATCTGTCTTCAGACAAATTTAATTGTGTGATCGCCGTGGAGGACACGCAAATGGCAATGAGTGCCTGCCTCAGGTCTGGGTCGGGTGGAGGCTGGCCTGCTGCCTTTTGTGGAGGAAGCACCAGCCCTCTCTGTGCTCAGGGTTGCCCCCTGCTTGATCCAGGACGGGGTACTTGTTTTAAAATGGCCTGCACGTAGGCTGCTGGGTGGCTGTCTCTTGAGATGGTTGGGCGTGAAGGTTTCTGCCCAATAGAGCAACCAAGGCAGAGGTAATTCCTAAAACGGTCAAATTATTCCCTCTCTCTTCAGAGATGTCACAGCAGAGTAGGAGACAAGTGGCCCGTCAGAAGTAGGAGAGTGTTGACCCACAGAAAGCAGCAGCAGCCACAGGTGTCCCGAGTGAAGGAAGAGTCATTGGTTTCCAGCACCGCCTTGAATTCTTACTCTGTATGTGCATAGATAATATTAATATACACTCACATAATCTCAGTGAGTTTCAATTACTTTCAGTCAGAAGGGTTTAATACAATCCCTAAACTAATTCTTTTTTTTTTATTGGAATGTTATCTCTTATATGTCACCCTGATTGACCTGGAAACATAGGACTATGACAAAAGACTTGTATTACATGATGTCTGATTCAAAAGATTTTGCATACTCACTCACAGAAGAAGACTTCCACCTGAGAGATTAGAGAACAGCTAATTTGGGAGACCAAGGTAATCATTAAAAAATTTTTACTTTTTTTTTAAGTTTTTTAAAGGTCATTTAAAAGAGTCTTGGAACTTGCAGACACAAAGGAAAATAATAACAATCCCAATAGGTAAAAATGAATAAGTCTCACGACATCACGCTTAGTGAGACACTGAGGAAACGGGCACTCATCAGAGGGGACTTGGTGACACGTGGTAAAGGTAACCCTGTGCCTGCTCTCCAGCAGGTGTCTGCTGGGGAAACCTTTGCAGATGTTACAGGAGACACGTACAAAGATGTTTATCATGGCACTGTTTATAACAATGAAAAATACTTCGTGTAATGAATGAGTGAAACATTTCATTCATATAATGAATGAATGAAATATATTTCATGTTGTGAATGAAAAATGGAAGCATCTTAAATATAGTTTGTTCTACTTTCCTGTACGCCTCTTTACAATTCTCAGGGACAGTTATCATCTCATTTAAGAGATGAGGAAACTGAGTCACAGAGAGTTTACATACTTTGCCCAAGGAGAGTAAGAGGTGGAGCCAGGATTCGCTCCCTGGAGGCCTTACCCTTACTTACCTCATTTCTGTAACTTTCTTTTGAAGATGGCATAGAAATGTGGGGTCAGATAGAGCTCCTGCTCTGCAGTCTTTGCTCAAGGGGGAGTCGTGCTTAGCCAGGCCTCGGCAAGTGCTCAGTAACATCACTGAAGTGTAAGCTCCTTGCTCAATATGTAGGTGCTGAGAGCCAAGCACCCAGAAACCGGGAAATGTCCAGGAGCCGTCCATCAAGACAAGGCAGCAACACCACGTCCAACCATAGGGATTTGAAACTGAAGTGATTCTGGGTTGAGTCAGGTCGTTTTGCGTGCAGTTCGACTGGGGCAGAGTCAACCTACTGTGGACTGGTAGATAAGCTGCTTTAGCAAAGAGCAGTAAGTGGCCGGACTGGGGCATTTGGAGCTGGAGATAAGGCCCATTAGCCTCGAAACAGCATCACACTGAGCAGGGACTTGAAGCTCCAGAAGCGGGAACAGTAGAGGTGGGACCGCTCCTTGGGGCGGGGTGTCCTGTGGGGGACGGACTCCCTAGCAGTGAGTCCCAGAAGGAAATGATTAGCAAGTTTCCCTTGGAAATGCATTCCCCCGTAGAAGAACACACCCGTATCTAATTTAAATAGGTCTCCAAAGTTTAGCCACATGCTTTTAATTACATTGCTGAGATAACAATAAAGAGAAGAGTCCCCAGCGGACTTCCGTGCCTCCTTTAAGGACACTTCATTTTGTTTCCTGCTTAATGGCTGTTAATAAATCACTTTCCAGCTGAGTACAGTTCAATACTGAAGCACTTAGCTATCTGACCTCACATTCATTATTTTTATTACACCAGCAGGAACTTTCATGTTCTTTTCCCCTTTCCTACAAAGCCACATGGCCCCAAGTAGACCCAGTTCTCTGAGAACGCCTAAGAGGGAGCTCCTTAAACACTGCACGGCTTAAAAGTGCCCTTAAGTGTGCTGACCCAAACCCGAGGTTCCGACAAATCAGTGGGTTTAAGGGGCCCGTGTGTGTATGAGTGTTTTGAGATGTCATTAAAATTCTTACAAAAACTGAAAGTGAAATGAGGAAGACTGATTGAGCAATCGAATAGAAGGGCGAATGCCAGGAAGACCTAGCGTACAGTAGGGCAGAGATGCAGCGGGGCAGAGAGAAGAAAATTCGGGAGAACTCTCCTGAGGGCGAGAGCCACGCTGGGCGATGTAGTCAATGTAGGACATCAACAAACACAGATAACAGGAAATGATCCATTCCCCGTGGTCACTGATTCTAAAGGCCCGAACCTCCAAAGTTCAAGGAGTGAGATGGATGACTCCACACGAGGGGAGCAGTCACGCCTTTCTTCTTGCCTTAAGAGAAGAGAAGAAATGAAACTGAAGGACAGTGTCTCCATCCTCCCCCAGAAGGAAAGCCCCTCTGTCCGCCTCTCCAAAGATGGAAAGCTGCTGGCCGTGCCCCTGCTGCTGGCCCTGCTGTCCTGCTGCCTCACGGTGGTGTCCTTCTGCCGGGTGGTCGCCCTGCAAACGGAGCTGGGGAGCCTGCGGGAGGAACTGCAGGCGCAGCACGCTGAGCGGCCGCCAGGCCCGCCCCGCGCGGGAGCAGCAGCCCCCCGGGCAGCTGTGCGGCAGGCTGCAGCTGCCACCTCCGCACTGAAAGTGAGTTTGCAGCAGCTGCAGCCCAGGCACGAGTCTCCCCGCACTGCTGCCTCCCCCACCGCAGAGGTCTGTGCCATAACTTGGGGTTTTTCTCTTCTTAGGGCATCTTTGCACCACCAGCTCTAGGAGAAAGCAACTCCAATCAAAGCAGCAGGAGTAAGCGTGCCGTTTCGGACTCAGAAGAAACAGGTAGGTTTGGGGAACAGAAGCGTTTAGGAGTCGGGGATCTCAGCGTTCACAGGTGTGGAGGACCGCATCCGGTTTGGGGGCGCGCGAGCTGAACATAACGTAGAGACAGTGCAATTTGCCGTCTGAACCAGATGTGACTTTGTGGCAAAGCCAGAGCACTTGCAGATTTAATAGGCTGCACAGCAGTTTTGTCCTCCAATGAGCAGATTTTGGGGGTGGAAATATTTGCCTGTGCCATACATTAAGCATAAAGGAGCAAAAAATGGGGCACATATTTTTCCTCCAATAGGTAGTTCACCCGTATGTCAGAAGCATTGTCCATCACTCCGATAAAAAGCATGACATGTTAGCACAGAATTAGATTCTGTCTACCTGGGCCGTAGACACCGGCTCGAGACAAGCATGGCCTGCCTGGTGTGCTGTGAAACCAAGGTCGTAGTGGGAGCAGGTGTGTGTTTGTGCTTTATTTTGCTTCTTGCTTTAAATACAGTGTATTTTATACACACACACTCTAATTTAAAAAATTTTCTTTTACATACGCTTTTCCAGAAGATCCATACATTTATAATCTTCTTGTAGTACTTCTTGAGTGATTTCCACCTTTCTTCATGTTCCACTTATTCCACAGAATCTTACAGATTCCTGAAACCTCGGATTTGGTGAGGCCTCCCAAAATGCTTAGTTCTAATTCCTTTGTTTCAAAGACGAACAAGAGCATTTGCATTGCATTTTCTAATATCACAATTTGACAAATCCTTGGTATCGTTTCCCTTTTATATTGAAAGAACGTTTCTGAGCACCTCGAATGTGCCAGGCAGGCCTGCGGTAGGACAGGTGTTGTCCCACCTGCCATTTCCTTCACCTTCACAGTGACCTGGAGGAAAGCAGAGCGCGTGTGATCATTACATACATCTGTACTGAAGAGAAGCACGTGAAGGACACAGACGAGGTGTGCTATTCGACACACACATTAGATACTCTGACTGTAAGCTTATTTTTCAGTAAATGCTTTATTCATGAAAAAAATTCTTCCTTATTTTATAAAACCGTAATTTTTTGTATCTGGTTCTTCTATCTGTGTGCCAATTATCAGAAACAATTAGGTTTAAACGTTTTTAAACTAGGAAACACTCATATTTTTACTATACTTTAACACATCAATTATTTTCATATTTTGCATTTGATCGTCTACATTTTCTACATAATTGAAAAAATACAGCATATATACTATGGTATATTTTTGTGTTCACCTATTATACCATAAGCATTTTCCCTATTTCTAAGTAATTTCTCATGCATCTATATTAGTTTATTATCATACGATTATTTAATATGATCATTTCCATTTTTTTTTGGCTATAATGGAACATGCCAAAATTTTTGTGCAGATCTCTTGTTTCTGAGGAATGATATGTTCAATATAAATTCCATAGATGGAATGTCTGAGCTAAAGAGGATGAACATCATCATCACTCTTGCTACCTGTTACCATATTGCTTCCCAAATGAGTTCTAAATGTGTGCAGTCAGAAAGAGAGTGTACAAGTTCTCCACATTCTTACAGCATTTTATCTTTGAAAATTTATTTTGGCTACTTTTGTAGTTGTAAAGCAGTATCTCAAATTTAATTTGTTGCTTGTTTACAAGTAAGAATTAACTTCTTTCCGCATATTTTGATACTTCTAATTTTATCTTCTGCTAATTTTTATTATATCTTCCCTCATTTGCCTGTCCTAATTTTTTATAATTTTGACTAAATTCTATATTACACATATTAACGTTTATCAGAATTTTGATGTAAATATTTTCACAATATTTTGCTGCTTTTTTAAACTTGTACAGAGATTTTGCATCTGTGTATTTTAATGTGACAAACTTTTCCTTTTGACTTTCTCTAATACATCAAAGCTAAAAATATATTTGTTTGTAATCTCTTAAATAGTCGATTCTATTTTCCGCTACTTTGACTTTTTTATAATTTAGTGTTTTAGTTTGGTATTTAACTCATCAATCCTGCTGGCATTTATTTTGGAAGCTCATTTCACACCAGCTTTAACTTCCCCTTTCTTCTTCTATTTTTTCCTTCCAAACTGCTGCTAAATATCTCTACCAAATTTACTAGATGATTCTTTTTAACTTGTTTGTGTTGGAAATTTTACTGTATTAAAAGTTCCTCATATATAGTTGAATCTATTTTGAAACTTTTTTTTCATTGATTTATTATTCTGTTTATCTGTATTAAATAAAATATTTTAAGTAATTTTGTAATATAATGAGCTTCAATGTTCAGTAGGATCAGGATGCCTCAATCTTCTTCAACCTTCTCTGCTAGTAGTCCCCTGCCTCTAAATATTAGTTTTAAAAATAAACCTTAACTTTACCATTCCAAAGAGGATATAGGCTCATTACAGCATATTTAAGAAGTAAAGAACTGAGTAAGAAATCAATAATTTCCTAAGCCCACTTCCCTAAAATATCCTCTATTAATATTTTTAAATTTCTTCCCATGTGGATATTTTTACATATTTGTGTTTTTATGGTGTCCAAAAATTGTATACTGATGAAACATATCCCCAGCTTATCTTCTATTTTTAGAAAATTTGGAGAATAACAGAAAATTCTAAACAAGAAGTCAAAATTTACCCAGTTTCCAAAGCCCAGATGTAATCACTACTGTCATTATCATGGTTTGCCTCAGATTTTTATCAACCTTTAATATAGTATACAGTCATGAGCCGCATAACTACATTTCGGTCAATGACAGACCACATACACTATGGTGGTCCCATAAGATTAGTACTGTATAGCCAAGGTATGTAGTAAGCTATACTCTCTAGGTTTGTGTAAATACATTCTATGATGTTCACACAGCGACGAAATCGCCTAACGACACATTTCTCAGAATGTATCCCCATCGTTAAGCGACACATGACTGTATATATAGTATACATGTATAGTATATATATACAGTATATATGATATATAGTATATATGTATGTATAACGTATATATATAGTACATAGTACATATATATCTCTGTATATCTCTATATCTCTCTCTATGTATGCTCATAACATTCATAGATCCGAGATGGAAGGTTTGAAGACGAGAATCTTAGAGACAGGTAATATCTGCTATTCTTTGTCAGTGAAATTGGCTTGAATGTTGTTTCAGACACTATCCTTTTGTGCAGGGAAAATTTATTTTGTTTATCACTCCTCCAGAATTAATGTATATATACCCAGAAGATTGTCTGAAACTCAATGATTTTTTTTTTTCTGTATGGTAGGGTCATTTTTTTGGAATTGAGAAAATTTGATGCAGTTTGAATCTATGCAGCTTTCTTTCGTTTTTGTTTCCATTCTAGTTGTTCTCATTTATTTTAGGTAATACTCAAAAACCTTAGGTTGTGCCTTGTACTTTCAAAGTGTTCATTTATGTTCTTATTTATTAATTTTCTATGTACATTTTAGAGCCATTGACATTTTTGTTGGAATTTTATACAAACTGTAACTCTGAAGAAGAAAATGAATTTTCACACTATTCAATTTATATATTCAAGGATGTTTAATATCTCTCTATTAAATATCCAATTTTAAATTTCCCAGTAAGACTTAGTTTTTCTTATATAGGTTTCACTATTCTTTCATAATTAATTTAAAAACTTTTGTTGCTATTTTGTAATCTAGGCCTTTTCAAATAGCTTGTTAAACTGTTAAAAATGTACAGAGTTTTCAATAAATGATATAGCATTTGATCTCATGCTTACTTTTGAGCTACGTCAACACATTTAGTGGATTTATGCTTAACAGATGTATTATTTTAGATTTTTTAAAGAATACTCTGCCTTCTACGTATGTTCTTCAACATCAATGTGCCATCATTTTATAACTATGTCAAAAAAGTTCATAGCTAAATATTGCTAAATAACACACCAGAATGTTACCCAACTTATTTTTCTATAATTCCAACCCAAATTTCACCAGGCACTTCAATTTTATTGTGTGTATATTCAATTTGTAGTTAAATTTCAGTGTGTTGGGCTAGACATCCCGATCTCCCCAGCACAGTATTTGGTATTTATTATATACCACCTAGGAAGGTTGTTGTCTTTTCATTTGTGTACGTTCTGTCTGTACAACCAAATGGTAGAGACTTCTGTGGTCTGCGTCCTATTTCTTCTTGCACATGTTCATCATGACACTTGCATACAGTAGCTATTCTATGAATATTTGTTGATCGATTTTGGGCTCAGTATGAAGTAAAATAGAATGATTTGGCATCATTTTGGGAGGGATTTTCCCATATTTCTTCATTTGTCAGGTTTTGATCAGAGGCCATCTTATGAAATTTTTTAATTTGACATTTAAAACAACTAATTAACAAAACAATGAGTCTGATCAAAACTACAGTCTGGGGGAGAGTTTGGGAACCCCTTGCCTCAGACCCTCTTAGTATACCTGGTAGGGGCACAATTTGGGCTCACTGAAAAGTCATAGAGAAACTCCCATACTCAGCAACCTCTTTAACTATGCTTTCATAGATTTCTGGTTTTATTTAATGTTTTTTAAATTTTAATTGAAGTATTATTTACATACAGAAAAGGGCACATATCTTAAGGATTCAGCTTGATGAATATTCACAAACTGAACAGCAGTAGATGAAGGGACAGACATCACCATCCACTCACACGCCCACCTAGTATTCCCTCCAGCCCTCCCAAGGGTAAACACTGCTTTTACCTAATTTTAAAATTTGGTACTTTGGCTCCAGTTTTGTTTTTCTTAATTATGTTGTGTTTCAAATGAAAGTCTTATTAAGTTTCATGTGTTTCATAAGATAATTTCTGATAATAGTATAACAAACAGAAATGTGGGGAAATCCAGGATCAAAGAATGGCCAAATTGTTTCATATTAGCCAAAAATTCACTTTTAAGCCCATAAGTGTATTTGGAGATATTCCCAATCAAAAAAATAACTAAAGTGATATGGCTTTGAAAG